CGCAGCGTGTGCATGCAAGAAGACGCTCGTGTCGTGTTCTGGGGCGGAGCTGCAAAACCTGCAGGTTTGAAGAGTCGTCATCGGAAAATAATTAAATTGGTTTTAACATCATTCCCAGAGCTGAACTGAAACAATCCAACATTTCACGTTTGAATTTAGTTTGAACAATCTTCACCAGCATAACCCATGGCCTTTATGCCAGAGCTGGACTGGGATGACTGGGATCCTTTTATTTTGAAAAACGACCCAAGTCGTCGCCATTTTGGTTAAATTTTGAAAATAATTTGATCTTGTACGGTCTGTCGGATCAGGTGGAGGAGTTCAGGTATCAAGGTTCACAAGTGAAGGTAGGATGGAGCGGGGCCTCGTCCTCAGTAATGAGTGTGTTGCTTCGGTCAGTCGTGGTGAAGAAAGAGTGAAATCTAAAGTCAAAGGGGGGGTCAGCTGAGATGAAGTGTTGCTCAATCCCGGGGTGATTGTGACTAAAGGAGCTGTTTTCAGCTGTTCACAAATGAGGTTTTGTGGTTTGCCGATGGAGAAGTAGAGACAGAGGAGGATGTGTTGCAATCTGGAGATGACCTGATGAGCGTTCATCCGCCAGCCTTCCTCTACACGACCCGCCCTCGCTCCGGACAAAGGAGCCTCGGTGCCGCCGGAGCCTCGGTGTGGCAGAGCTGTCGGGTGAAGTGATAACGGCTGGACGGAACATGTTACGGTGTGTTGTGGAATGTGTGAGTCACCGCGGGGACCTTTCATACCCACCACGTCCCCTTCAGAGGCGCCTTGGGGGCAGCAGCTCTCACTTTTCACATCCAGACTGCAGCACCGGCCCGTTTTGGTTCCCAGAACTTCTGCAAAGTTACATTTCAACAAAACACTGTCAGGACCCGTGTTTGTTTAGTTTTTATGTTTTAAGGTTTTATTTTAAAGGGCGGCTGTGGCTGAGTGGTCAGAGCATTTGTCCTCCAATGCAAGAGTTGTGGGTTTGATTCCAGCAGCAGTCACATGCCGAAGTGTCCCTGGGCAAGACACTGAACCCCTCGTTGCCTCCGATGTGTGTCCCACTGGTGTTTGAATGTGATAAAGCTCAGATTAGTCTGTGTACAGATCTAGTAGAGTGATGTGTAAATGAGGCACAGATTGTTGTAAAGAGCTTTGAGTGTCTTTAAATAAAATTTAACTTTACGTGCCATTAAAACAAGATCAACTGCACTCTGAACCAACTCCTGGAATGTACGGCAGACGCAAGTTTTACATTTTAATGAGCAAAAGACCAACGTCTTGTTGTTTAAGCTCAGTGATGGTTCCAAAGTCCATTCTAATCTGGTCCTTGAACACATCATCTGACTGAGACTAACCTGGGCGTGAGGCTGGACAATGATTTTAAACTAGATGCACAGATTAAATCAGCGATCAAGTCCAGTTTTTATCACCTGAGACAACTGGCCAAGGTCAAACTGTTTCTGTCACGACATCATTTAGAGATTTTAATCCATGCTTTCATCACAACTCGTCTGGACTACTGTAGTTCACTTTATTCCATTCATTCATTCAACCTTTATTCAGGTCAGCCTCATTGAGCCACGTGGACTCATTTACAAGAGAGACCTGATTTAAACAAACAACAGAAGAGGTACAAAAATGCATATAAAATGAAAAGTAAATAGAAGAAATGACATAAAAATGAAACAAAAGCAGCTACGTTATAAAGCGATACTAAAAACAGGAACATGTCTGCGTTGAACTTGAACTTAACAGATGTTTAAAGTTCCTTAGAGAGGTCGAAGTCTTTGTTGGTCTGAGCGAGTCATTACTGACGGTTCAGAACGCTGCTGCTCTGGTACCTGGTACCTGGTACCTGGTACCAGGTACCAGGTACCAGAGCACATCGTCTCTGTTTTAGAATCACTACATTGGCTTCCCGTTCTTTTCTGGCATCATTTTAAGGTTCTTTTATTTGTTTTCAAATGTCTTCATGGTCTCACAGTATCTGTCTGACCTGCTGCAGCTGCACAGGAGCTGCTCATAAAATGAGAACATCATGAAAAAGTTGATTTATTTCAGTAATTCCATTCAAAAAGTTAAACTTGTTTATTATATTCATTCATTACACACAGACTGATATATTTCAAATGTTTATTTCTTTTAATGTTGATGATTATAACTGACAACTAATGAAAACCCCAAATTCAGTATCTCAGAAAATTAGAATATCACTTCAGACCAATCAAAAAAGGTTGTTTAGAAATGTTGGCAACTGAAAAGTATGAACATAAAGTATGAGCATGTTCAGCATCAGTACTTAGTTGTTGCTCCTTTTGTCTGGATCACTGCATCAATGCGTCGTGTCATGGAGTGGATCAGTCTGTGTCTCTGCTCAGGTTCTGAGAGTCCAGGTTGTTCTGATAGTGGCCTTCAGCTCTTCTGAATTGTTGGCTCTGGTGTGTCACATCTTCCTCTTCACAATAACTCATGGAGTTTCTATTGGGTTACGGTCAGGTGAGTTTTCTGGTCAATTAAGAACAGGGATACCATGGTCCTTAAACCAGGTACTGGTAGTTAGACACTGTGTGCAGGTGCCAAGTCCTGTTGGAAAATGAAATCTGCATCTCCATAAAGTTGGTCAGCAGCAGGAAGCAGGAAGTCTCTAAAACTTCCTGGTAGACGTTTGCGTTGACCTTGGACCTCAGAAAACACAGTGGACCAACACCAGCAGATGACAAGGCACCCCAAACCATCACTGACTGTGTAAACTTGACACTGGACCTGAAGCAATGTGGATTCTGTGCCTCTCCTCTTTCTCCAGACTCTGGGACCTGGATTACAAAGGAAATGCAAAATTTACTTTCATCAGAGAACATAACTTTGAACCAGTCAGCATCAGTCCCAGGACGAGACGCTTCTGACGCTGCCTCTTGTTCAAGAGTGGCTTGACACAAGGAATGCAACAGCTGGACCCCATGTCTTGCATACGTCTGTGCGTGGTGGTTCTTGAAGCACTGACTCCAGCTGCAGTCCACTCTTTGTGAATCTCCCCCACATTTTGGAATTGGTTTTGTTTCACCATCCTCTCCAGGGTGCGGTTATCCCTGTTGCTTGTAAACTTTTTCTACCACATCGTTTCCTTCCCTTCACCTCTCTATTAATGTGCTTGGACACAGAGCTCTATGAACAGCCAGCCTCTTTAGCAATGACCTTTTGTGTCTTGTCCTCCTTGTAAAAGGTGTCAATGGTCGTCTTTTGGACAGCTGTCAAGTCAGCAGTCTTCTCCGTGATTGTGTAGCTACAGAACTGGACTGAGACCATTTAAAGGCCTTTACAGGTGTTTTGAGTTAATCAGCTGATTAGACTGTGGCACCAGGTGTCTTCAGTATTGAA